TGTGCCCTTTGTCTACCTGGTGGATGCGGCCAAGGAGCACGACATACCCAAGAACGATGCCGCCATGCTGCTATCCATCATTGGCATCACCAACACCGTGGGCCGTGTGTTCTGCGGATGGGTGGCGGATCTGCCACAAGTGAACTCGCTGCTGCTCAACAATTGCTGCCTTCTGGTGTCCACGATAGCCGTCACATTGACTCCATTGTGCTACAGCTATGCGGCCTACATCACCATGTCCATTTTCTTTGGACTGGCCATCTCGGGATACATCTCGCTGACGTCAATTATCCTGGTCGATCTGCTCGGCCTGGACAAGCTCACGAATGCCTTCGGACTGCTGATCCTGTTCAGAGGATTTGCCGCGTTGATCGGCACGCCCTTGGCGGGTGCCATCTACGACATGACGCACACCTACGACCTGCCTTTTTACATGGCCGGTGCCTTGTTCGGGATCTCCACTCTAACCAGCTTCCTGGCGCCCTGCCTGAAGAGATGCAGCCCCGCCGAGGAGACGCCCGTGCATGCGGAGACCCTCACGCCCATCGACGAGGAGCAGGGCGAGGATGCCGAGGACGAGGACGAGGATCAGCCCATCACCATTGTGCCCAAGATCATCAAGACACTGGCGAGTCCGCAGCAGGAGGAGGGACATCCGCAGTTCCCCCAGAAGACAAGCGAATCGAAACTCTAAACGGGTTGCGGATGATGAATTTACGGGGCATTGCGGAGCGCTCAAGAGGATCCGGTGAGATATTTTTCTATTTACTTATACAGCAGAGGAGGAGGCGGAGGCGGAGGAGAAGATCAGAGATCGAGCACACCTATATACAAAGAGAAGGAGGCGGATGGATATATATATAGCCAGCCCCAAGCCATATATATATATATGGTATATATATATATACACCTTTAAGCCTAGGCAACAGCGGAGAAGATGGGATGCGGAAAATTCACTTTTCTACCAGGAGAACTCAGCTTAGCTTGCGATAAGATATAGAAAAAACCTTTGGCTATATATAAATTATACTACGCTCATAAAATACCGATCGAAAACTGATACCGATCGTTGGTAGATTGCAACTGTTATACAGCAACCACAAAATATTGTAAAGTAACTTCTATTATTATTATTTGTTTGTTAAACCCTACGATTACTATGATTATCATTATGATTACTATTAAAGATTATTGTGTACTACTACTACTACATAGTTGTTGGCCAGCCGTTATAAATGTGTCATACCATAGAGATATAGCGATATATAGCGTGTGTGTAAACTGTAAAATGTAGCTAAGTAGTGAAGTGGCCCGATTAACTTAATGAGCGAAGCGCAGCAGCAGCAGCAGCAGCAGCAACTATATTTCGAAACTAATAAATTGTATATTTTTTAAGGAAGAAGAACGAGAAAAACGGAACGCTACACAAAAAAAAAGAACTCAAAGGCGAAAACACAAATGAACCGCATTAAGAGCTAAAATTGTTTTCAATTTTACACTAATCATTTAGATGGCGCAACTCAAAATACAAATTTACGGCTCATTTTTGTAAGTTACTAAACTAAAGTCCAGCAACAGAAAAACCAAGAGTAAATGAATTTTTAAGGCTTGTATGTGTCTGTTTTTTAACTATCCAAATAAATAGCCTAGTAGCTACGAACCATAAGCAATACGGCAGAAGTGCAGTTCAATACAAACGAAATTGTTCACGCGGCTAACTAATTAACAGTACTATATATAACAATATTGTACCACAAGAAATATTCTAAATCTGTTATACGCATAAGGACAGGGCAAACAACAAGTGAACGAGTGGGAAACACATCAAAAGTAACATTTAGAACAATAAGTGTTGAAGGAATGAGAAAAGCAGCAAGAATAGAAATAAAAGAAATTGCCATACATTTTAAAAACTGTAAGAAACAAAAGTGTTTTTGTGGGACTATTTATGGGGATTGCGGGTTTTTATGTTCTACAAAGTTTTATGGATTTAAAATGGCTTTCAGAAATTATTTAAAATATTTATTATCTTGAATATTATTATTATTTGCCATTATATCTTCTTTAATTATTTTTTTTGTTTTTCCTTTAAAATTATTACTTTATTCACGACCTTCGCAACGTTCGGTTAACAGAACAGCAAACATGAACTCTACGGATTACGTTTCCATTTGAATAAGCACTAAATAAGTACCTATATCAAGAGGAAACTCGTGAAAGCCTCGGCACAATTATAATCTCCAAGGGGGAGCGTGTGGCGCTCTAAAAACCATCGATCAAAAGCTCGCCTTGGACTTAAAATATTGCGTTTATCAGTATCAGATTTTGAAATGCCTTCGATGTCGCAGAAAATCAGATCATGGCGTGCTTACTCGTAAACCCCTCGCCCCAAATATGATTAGGCTAATCAATGGGCCACGGGGGAGTTATGACTGCACTAATCAACATTACTAATTGTGGGCGACCCGGGGGAATAATATCGCCTATCAATCTAGTCTCTGGACAAACACTTGGCAGTATCGCCTTGCTGTTTGTATGCCAAGTGCTTCGAAAACAGCCATAAAAGAAAAACCTCTCGGATAGACGAAGCTCGTTGAACCAAAACCCAGACATGGGTAGAAAACCAGATAACGGGTAGAAAACCAACTGGAACTCAATCAGTAGACCTCTTCTCTGTTACGTGTGATATTCCTAGCTGTTCCACGTGCATTTAAACGCAAGAGGTAATAGAAAATAACACTCAAATAGCCATAAATCAATCAAAACCTTGTAACCTGCTATGTGTGCTGAGTTTTATGTGAATTCTATGAAGTAATCTTTATAATTGCCTGTACATAAATCAATTATAGTTGTCACAACATCAAAGTAATAGCACTGCATAAAAACATCAAAAGCCCATCTTTTCTAATCTAAATATGCCCTTACAAAATCATCCTATTTGAGCCTTTTGACTTTGATCTTATAAATGTGAATCCTATTACAATGTCTATTGGCTATTATTTGGTATCATTTATAAAGCCAAAGATTAATTTAATAATCAAATTTATTAAAAGCCAATCCATCGTAATTTATCATTTTTAGAACTATATTGAAAACATCAATAGCCCTTCTGCTCAGGCTCATTGATCTTTACTTACATAAATATCAGATGTTAGCCGTCTTATAAATATAATTCAAAAGTAAATATATCCAATTACTATATATATTGGCTAAAATTCCGCATTATTTTTAACACCCAAGAACAATTTATTTATAAACCTTATTGATAACCAATCCATCATAATTTCTTTATTTTTTTTTCAGTGTGTCAATTAGGTACCCTTTGATTCAATTTTAATTTTTTACAAGTATAGCTTAAATTTCAAATAGAATCTTCAAATAGTCCGCCTATTTGGCCTTTGTCAAGCAATTAAGTCGACATTCAGCTAATAGAACATGTTCTGTCCCTTGGCTAAGATGAATCCCTTGCCCCGGCCACATGACACACTCAATTACGATTAGTATGCAAGTGGTCGAGACGCCTACTCCGGCATTTCCACTCAGAGACGTCCGTTCGATTGATAAGCGTGAACAATGCACACACCAAACGGGCAAACAAAAATAATAACAACAAAGGGCTGACCGAAAGCCACTTGTGCTGCTGATTAGAGAGAGGGTGAGTGGGTGGATGGGTGGTGAGATGGGTGTTGCTGTTGTGGAGGGCACAACAAAGTGGTCAACAAGCTCAACACCTGTTGGCGGCTCCACGAAGGGTGAACGGATGATAGTCCAGCCAAAGACCCCACATCCAAAGTGAAATCCCAACCGAAAACAATCGGAGGCAAGCCAAGGGCATGGCAACAAGCAGGCCGAATAATTAAGGCCCAGAAACTATGGCAAAATGTGTTGACATCAACGTTCTTCCCCAGAGACTATATATACATATATATCATGTGACACCTGAGAAGAGTGTAAGCCAAGTAGGGAGAATATTATATAGTAGAAGAGAGCGAGGAAAGGCAAAAGTAAGCGAAAAACTGCATATAAACACGATGGCCAGGCGACGCAATCGAAGGCACGCCATGACAAATTCCAAAAAACAACAATAAGCGTGGAGCAACACGAGCTCCAGATACTCTGGTCATCAGTCCGGTTGAAAGTCCACAAACCACTCTGTTTGGATTTATCTTTGACTAGTCGTGGCCTCGCTTCAAAACAATAACAAGATAAATCGAAAGTTATTTCATGATGCCGAGAAAATGTGGCACAATTGTAAGCTAAAGCTTAGAAGAGTATTTCCCCTTGAAAGGGTATCAAACTGATTGAACAATTAAACCTTAATATATATGAATAGTTATTAATTCGAAATAAATCATCAAGGGAGAATTATTTTAGGCAAAATCGTGGATAAAATTAAATCATTTTAAGCTACATTTTATAAGAATAATACCCTTTGAAAGAGTATCGAACTGATTGAACAATTAAACCTTATCAGCGGTAATCGAACAAATTAAGTTTAGATTATGTATGAGTAGTTATTAATTCTGAATAAATCATCAAGGGAGAATTATTTTAACCAAAATATTGGCCAAAATTAAATAGGCGGAAAATTAAATCTAATAAATAATATGCCATATATCAAAGCTTTAGTTTCTTTTCTTGAAAATAGTTTAAGTTAATAAACCAATTCGAAACTAACTATAGTAAACTAAACATTTTCCATTTTCTAGATTGCTGAAACTATAATAACTTAAAACATCAACTAATGTCATTGACCCAAAACAAGGAGATAAATCTAAGCCTGATGATTCATCTGAAGCATTATTCAACTACTGTTCAAAGTCGAAGCAGCTTTCCTTCAATGAACGAATAATTAATTCTTATAAACTGGCACCGAGGGAAATGAGATTACAAACAATAACAATGGAAAGTAGTAAATTAGTCAAAGTGCAATCCATTTGAATTATGAATTCCAATACCCAAATGAATCACTAATCAATATTGTGCACTGCAGCACTCACCCATTTGCTCCTGATGCGCTTGCGAATGTTGCTGTAGCTGTTGCTGTTGAGGCGGAGTTGGTGTTGGGGGCTGCGGCGGGGGAGCCTGTTCGATTAGCACTGGCGATGTCTGCTGCAAGATGTGATGCGGCGGGGGCAGCAGAGCTGGCTGGACGCCTTCCGGTGGCAGGGGCATGGCAGCAGTCCAGGCCACGGGAATAGCGCCAGGCGGCGGAGCTCCGCACTCAGCAATTTCGTCTTCGTACTGTAAAAATTAAGAAAGGGTTTAATATTGTAATGATAAAAAAGATAATATCAGCTCTTTTTCGGTTTTCTCATGTTATGTAGGGTTTGGCAAACCATTTACAGCATTCAAATTCATAGGAAAAAGTATTTTTTTAGTAAGTCTTTTCTTTTCTTTGTTAAATAGTTTTAAATAATTATTTAATTTGTTAAGAACATAGTTGCTACTTAGCATTGAGAACCGTGAAAGTAATTGGTTTTAAGGGCTCCACTCACCTGCGGCATAGGACCTGCTCCTGGATGAATCGGCTGCAGGGCTGCCAGCTGGCCATCCTCAAAGATCTGCATCACACCCATCTGGTGCTGGATCTCGTGCATCTGGGGATCGTAGATGGGGTAATTCGGACTGAGCATGCTCGACGTTTCCGACGAGGGCAGCGAGGAGCTGTTGTGGTTGAGCTCGTCGCCCACATGGGCCACTCCGCCATTGGGATGTAGTGCCACCTGTTGCTGCTGCTGCTGCTGTTGTTGCTGCTGCTGCAGCACTTCGAAATCCTCGGCGTACATGGGTGCCGTATGCCAGATTTGGGTCATTCCTCCGTCCTGCTGGGCGACCCGCTCATCCACACCAGACTGGCCGGCATCTTCCGGCACGTACTGGTACTCAGCCGGATGCATCATGGGATAGATATATCCGCCAGGATTGAACCACGCCGGATTGTACATCACCGGACCGGAGATGAAGAGCGGTGATCCGGTGGCTTGTTGGGCAGCCGTGGGATTCGGCGGAGGCTGCAGATTCGCATGCTGTGGCGCAAAGTAGGGCGAGGGATATGGATAGGCGTAGGCTTGTGGAGCATGGGCGTAGTACTGCGGCAGGTGCTGCATATGCGCCTCGGGCGGCGGCATCTGCTGACCCATCTGGTCGGTCTGCAGCTGCAATCCGGGATTAGATCCGTCCGGCGGCGGCAGTTGCTGCTGCTGCGGCAGGGTGATCAGCTGCTGCTGCTGCGGCTGCTGAAGATGACGTGGCCCATGGTAGTCATTGCGTCGCGGTCCACCGCCTCCACGTTGACGTCCGCGTCCCCGCGGCCGTTGTCCACCCATACCAGGAGTGTGCGGATTCGGAGAGCCTCCCTGGGGAGCCAAGTTGATGGGCAAGGGCTGCAGATGCGGCATCACGGTGTTGCCCTATAGGGATAATTCATTTCGGAGTTAGTATTGATGATTGTATAGTTTCTCTGTTAGTTTAAAAATTACTTGTTACCAGTAGAATCAATGTTAATTTGAATTAATTTATAAATAGCATAAATTATAGTTTTTAATTTATATGCTATACTGCTTAAACTGCCTAGCAGCTCCAAATAGCACCCGGCTATAAGGAAGTACTAACGAAGTTCCCGCCCAGCTACCCACCTGCTCCTGCGGCATGTCACCGTGTCCGATGTAATGGTGCTGACCTCCGGCCGGCAGATAGGCGGGCACTGTGTGCGGCCAGCCATGCAGATTCACATTGGCAGTGACGTTGTTCACGTAGACAGTGCTGCTGGGCGTCGGAGCGGGGATCATGGCCGGATAGTGGGCTCCGGCGTGCGGATGTCCTCCGTGGGCGGACATGTATACGGGTGGATTGTACACGGGCTGTCCGGCCGGTGTGAAGGCCTGGACGGGCGTCAGTAGATTGTTATTCCCGGAGGGTGAAACCAGGTTGTTGTTGTTGTTGTTGTTGCTGTTGCTGCTTCCAGCCGGCTGTGGCGTCGAGGGCGTTGAGATGGGCGTGACTGCTCCGCCACCAGCTCCTGCTGCACCTCCTCCACCTGGTGCTCCGGATCCGTGTCCAGATCCCGCCGCCGTAGTGGCCGCCGTCGACGTGGGCGGCGCTGCCTGCTGCTGCGGCTGCGTTTGCTGCGCCATGGCCAAAAAGCCTCAGTTCGGAACTTGGCTCAGGTCCTGATTGGTATTATTTGTGGCTTAAACGAGTCTCAAGAGTCGCAGCAGGCGCCAAACATTGAACTTGCTGTTTGCTGTTAAGGAAGAGAGCGAAAACTAATTAATAACTATGGTAGGGCGACTTATTTATAATATACAAAGTATTAAACAACCCATAATACCAAGTGTGAATAAATAATGAGTAACATAAATTTTGCAGATTATACAGATATTTTACCATATTAAATGTTTTAAATTTGAGGTCGTTCCAAATATGAGTTTTTAGGATGAAAGAAAGTAAGGGATTTAGAGTAAGGGCCCTATAGAAATATTTAAAAAGTTGAAAACAATTCTAGGATGTAAGTAGAAGGAAATCAAGGTCAAAATTTAAGCATTATAGTTATTTCTATTACTATGTACTGCAATAAAAATAATCATAGGAAGTAACAAATGCTGCATAAATACTAAATAAACTATATATGGAGCACAGTTGGAGCGCACCAGGTGTTCATTTTCTACACAAGCACAACTAAAAATACAAAAAAATGGAAATATAAATCCAAATTAGCCACATCTGCGGGCGGCGGAGCACATTTTCTCCGTTTTCAGACACGGGTTAAATTCTAATTAAATGCGATTTTCATTTCACGCCACTCCGCGTGCCGCAGCCGCAAACCAGTCTGGCAACGCCGCACAGCTGTCGGTGTAATAAGAAAATCAAATAAACAGAGCAAAAGAGATGGGGAGTGGGGATGGCGATAATGGATGGGGGTGTTTATTAGTCCGACACATCAAAACTACCATATTAATCATAACAAAACGAGGAGCCGGCGATTTAAAATCATAGTTTTTGGTCAATTCCTATGGTGCCACACGCCGCCCGCTAGAGATGAGCAATAGGTACGATTTGCCGGCACCCGATAATATCGGTCACGAATGTAACAGGTTCAAAGGGCTAATTTGTTGGATTTACTACGTAAATAGATATATAGGTAAGGGGAAAAAGTAGGAGAAAGTAATATGTATTAGTTTAGTGGGTTATTTGTTTGTAGGAGGCTTTTGAAAAGTTATTTTTGTTGGTTTTTAACAGACGAACATTACTCATCTCTGCCGAACACAACACACACTGATACGCACACACAAACGCATTCACACACACAGAGGGAGAGGCAGGCCAATGAAAGAAATTGGAAAATAACTTTGCTGGAAGTAAAAAGGCTAAGTATTTCAAGTATTTTCTAGGAAATACACAAGTTTCAGGGTCTTTGGGTTTATGTAAATTAGTGTGCCGGGCTTTTCAATGTTTTTGAGGGAATTCTAGGGGTGGGGGAGACGACTTTATCGAACTTACCTTTTGTTGAGTGGCCAATTGAAATCAATTTTGCAATTTGATCATATTTTATGCGTGCGGCAATCTCTCTCTTCTCTTGCTCGCTCGCTCGGTTTCTCTCTCTCCCTTCTCACTCTCTCTTTCTCCGCGCGGTGCCACGATAATTCCGCAAGTTTTTACACGCTGCCTGCTCCTGCTCCAATTTTGGTGCTCCAACAAATTAACACTGAAACACGCACGCTCGCGGGGTCACAGGTCACGGGGCACGGGGGCGAGAGGTCACCGATTGGCACGGCGCTGGCGATCCCTTTTGCTGCGGGCCCACAAATCGTTTTATTGTTCTTTATTTTTCGTTTCGGCCGAAGAACCTTTTCCTGCTGCCAGGGTTGTCGCACATCGATGACAGTGCGATAATTGGCGGTGCATGCTATCGATTAGTCTGGGTGGCAGCCCGGCAAGTCATCGAAATCGATCAGGTGGCAGCGCCGCGGCAATTGGGCGGGCAAATTTAAACGGCTAAAGAGCTGGAATTTTCGAAATCTGTATGTAATTAAAAAAATTTTTAAATATTATTAAATTAATGGAACATGATTGTTTTTATTGCTTTACAAAATAGTTTTCGGTCCGAGCGAAACAGTATCCCCTGCAGAGCAGGAATCTTTTCCTTCACTAAAAAGTACAGTAGAACAAGATAATCATTTAATTTTCTATAAAATATATATACTTATATCTTAAAGCCTTTCAACATGTACGCATACAACTTCAGATATGTATAAAGCTGTTCTTGTATGAATTTCCTGTAATCAAAAAATATGCTAAATTTTCTGGCGTGAAATGTATTTTTAAAAGGCCAAACAAAAAGTACCCATTAATAAATTTTATAATTTGTTTATACCTTACGTACATTAAATGTAAGCATCATGTATTTATTATAGATATTATTTAAAATCTAAAATTATGTTTATTATTATTTAAAATCTTACATTTTTAGACCTATAAAACTAGTGTCAAAAATGCTTCAATGTACATCTTAAATGCTGGAATTTTAGATAAGCTTATCAGCAATCTGTGAAGGGCAATTCGCAAGTTTTTTAAATTAGTTCTTCCAGAGAACACGCTCGGAACAGTCAAAATGCTTTGGCTGGATAGTTTTATTACTTACGGAACTCTAGCGGTGTGTTTTTTGTTCTTGGCTTGGCATATAGTTATGGACTGGAAACTTTATCAATATGGCACAACCCAGCTGAATCAACCCATAGAGAGGCTGGATAAATTGGAGGCTCAACATTCGAGAATGGAGAACAATGGCCTGGTCAGAGAAATAAATAGAAAAGAGTTTGAACTAATCGGATACAGACATTTCTACATCGAGAGATCAAATTTCAAAGATTGGAATTCTGCTAAAAATTCATGCCGTGAGATGGGTGGCTACTTAGCATCGTTCTCAAGCCGCAATGAGTTTGTTAAAGTTAAAGGGAAACTGAACAGCGATCAAGCATACTGGCTGGGGATCAACAATATGGACAAAAAGGATGTCTTCGTATCTGACGCCTCCGGCAAGCCATTACCATTTATTGATTTGAGTTCAGAAGACTGCCATGTACTTGGCTTGAGCTGCGTCAGTTTCATTCATGGGGGAAGCATACTCACTACCACCAAATGGAACTACCAAGCTAGGTATATTTGTCAATCAGACTCTTATGTTTAGTTAAAATCAAACAGTCTCACAAATTAACTACATTGTAAGCATAAATAAAAGATTTTTATATGGCTTACTTCCAGACGTGTATTCACTGGGTTAACGTTATCAACGCATAGTAGACATCTTTCTAAAGCATAACAAGCACACTTCAGCCGCCGAAGATTACATACCCTTGCAGATATTGCCAAGCTATTTTTTGAAACATCTAAATTCGATTTATATGCGTGTATGTGTATGTATTTATGATTTTTAGCTCAAGTGTTCAATGGTTCCTATTGATCTATATGAAATAGTTTTCCGATTTGAATAATTAAAACCGTAATTCAAAAACTCTTAGTCATTACTATCATCATAATTGTTAATGAAAATTAAAATAAAGAGAAGTTAATTTATTTTATTTAAGAAAATATTTCAATAGTAAAAAAATGTTGCAAAGTATTCAACGATGATATTTAAAACTAAATTAAAACTCCATACTTTAGACACACATTGTTTGATTTTATTTATGCAATATTAATCATGCAATGAACATTATTACAAAATTCGCTGCACATCAACAGGGTTTCGATTTCGGCTTGCCATTTAAACTATCTCCATCGTTTTGATTTGTGGGCTTATGTGGGATTATCAACACTTATGGAACAAGAAACGATGTAATTGCTTGGCTTACAAATAAACACTCAGATATATAATCGTATAGGTACCTTTTAATGTGGGGATTAACACTGAGAGCGTAAAACTAATTATGTGTATCGAACTTAATCTGTGTTCCGATTGCTTTTCATTGACATATTTTCCATTTTCGCTGTTGACCAATTCAGTAAATCAAGTTGCCTAATCAGTCTTTACTATAAGCTGATTGTACTTTTTACAGGGTATGCACAAGTATGGCTTTTATTTGTCCTCTCGCCCTCGTACTTAGATCGTTGTGACTACGTTTCCTCTTTGAGAATAGCATTAACAGTAACCGATAAATAGTATTGATAACAACGATACACCCATAAGAACTTATTGGCCCAAGTTATAGGCCCAGTAATAACGTGATATATCTCATATTCTAACAATAGGAAGACTAGTGCTCACAGCTGCGATCGAAACGATTGGAAATCATTCTTAAATGAAATAACTTTAAAAATTATAATAAACCGTAATAAATATCATATAAATAATAAAACATTAGTTTAGAAAACTTAATAAAAATTTTTAAAAAAAAACTGTATAGAAAAGTAACACTGTATAACTTCAAAAATACATTTTTTTTGCTGCTTAACCAGTTGGGAATTATAGCGCAATACAATAGAAAATTCAGTAAAATAACATTCTATCGCATCGCAACTGCAGTTATTTGTACAGTAACATCAGTAATTCAAGTTAATAGACATCGTTGAAGATTCTTTAGCTCATTGCTTAGGCCCGAGGCAACACAGATATTATTGCTGGTTTATGTAATATATGTAGTATATATATAACACTTATCTAGGTACGATCTAGGGGTTATAAAAATAAACGACACGCACACGCACAAAAATACATATACAAACATCAATCAAGTTGCTAAAGTAATTGTCGATGGCTGCTGGTTAAACGCTATGAAGTGAAGTTTCAACTCGTTGGATCCTAGGAATCCTCGTTCAGGATTTTGGCTGTCGATGGAGGAGGCGGTGGCGAAGAAGGCGGAATCGGAGGTGGCGGTGGAGGAGGAGCACGTAACGGCGGTTCGTCCGCATCCATTTCGATCTCAATCGAGTTCTCACGCTCCGTAATCTCGGGCATTTTGAGGGAAAAGCTGCTCAGCTTTCGTTCCGCCGATCCCAGCGAGCTCTGTGAGTCGGCCTTCAGCAGAGTGGTCCTCCTCTCGTTAATCACCCTCAGGGAGTCGTACATCTGCTCATCCGCACTGGCACTGCCACCATTGCCGGCCAATCCCCGCTCCATGGATCGTATGTAGAACACGGAGTCATCCCGCTCGTTGGGCACCTCCTTCTTGGGTCTGTAGAACTGCCTGGAACTGTTGCTCCTGTAGAGCGGCGCCGCCACCGGCCTCTGATCCTGTTCGTCCTGCTCGCTGCGGGCGAGGGGTAGGAAACCAGGACGCACCTTCTTCGGCGGCAAAGTGCTCGTGTGGTGCTGCAGCTCGGTGATCTCCTCGTAGGACGTCTTGGGCTGCGAGGTCGTCGTCTCCTGCTCCTCAGACTGGTCCAGACTCTCCTCGGGCACAGCCGGCTCCATGCTGGACTGACCCGACAACTGACGCACCGGCGGCGGTGGCTCCGAGCACACAGACAACTGGCTACTGCAAGGGATATCAAACCGGGAGTTTATTCTATTTAATAAAAATATATAACATTTTGAATCTAGTAAAACAAAAACTGGGTTAAACACATTTGAAAAAATTAATTCGACCGGAAACTATATTCATTTTGTTTCTAGAAAGATTGGAGTACTTAAGGTAAAAAGTTTGGGTCTTAAAATAAAAAAATAATTAAATTAAAAAATAAACAAATGCTAATTTAAACACACAGAAAAATTCATGTTAAGCCAGTTTGATTCCAGAAAGATTAGAGCACTTTAAGTAAAATCACGGTTCCTAAGCCATAAATAGATAAGCCATAAAAGATAGGTTTTAAAAAACGGGGTTGTTTCAGATTATGGAAGAGATTATAAAACATAACTAAAGGGTAAAATTATACTCTCTTGTAATAAGTCTCTTTTAATAAGTCGCAATCATTGAATAACTAAAAAACATGCGTTTGGATTGAATAAAATTTTAATTAAGAAATAATTGGATTCAAAAATAAGAAACTTAATTTTTTGTTTAAATTATTATTTTTTATGACTGTAAATGCAAATAGGAAGTACCGAAACTCTTTCTCCACGGAGGGCGTGGCTGAGGGCCCGGAACTGTATCGCTTGGGCGATCGCAGTATCGATTTCGGCATCACCTCGGGACTATGGAGATCCACTTGGACACGCCGGGATTCGATACTAGATGTTCGACTGGCGATGGACGCACAGCGAGCCGTCCAGCGGCCGCTATACGAGGAGTCCGACATGGTCGAGTTTCTGTAAGAATAAGTTAACTTAGTTTCACTCTAGTTTTATTTAGTTCTATAAAAAAGTCTATAAAGTTATATCAGAGTCATTCTAGCATCACAATTAAAATATTTTTTATATCGAATAATATTTAACGCTTGTTTGGAAAATGTTTATTTCTAATTCCGTTTTTCATGAAAAAAGTGTGTGGGCTTGATTTACATTTAAAGGTATTTCATTTAAAGTATTAGGAAATATTTAATTAATTTTTAAAAATGAATGTAAAATTAAAACTCAATGTACTATTTGTATATAACATGTTAATCACATCTATAACCAGAATGTCCTAGTTTTAGAAAAAAAATATTTTATGCTATGACTGAATCAATGGGGAAATGTTTAGCTATTTATTCAATAATGTTGGGAATTTTTTTTAATTTAGGTGTTTTGATGATATGGTACATATATCAGAGACCATTTGCAATATAAGCTTTAAAAGATTTAAATTTTCAAATATTTAAATCTATTCGAATAAAAATCATATGAGAAAAAAATTAATTAATTATTCCGTTTTTTGAATAAATTCACTAATTTACTTATTTGCTTTACCAGTATAATTTTTGGAGCTATAAATGTAATTTACCTCCTGTGTCCCAGAGGACTTCGACTGTGATCGCGAGCCTCCTCCTGTTCGATGGGTCTCTGGCGAGCGAGGACATGCCTCTTGGCGGTGTCCGATCGCTTGTTCCGCTCACTGCGCCTCTCCGCCCCGGAACTGATGCCCGATCCGGGCGGCGGATGGCTGCCCCCGTCGAAGGAGGAGGCCTGCCAGTAGACGCGACTCGCGGCCGGCGGCTGGAGCAGGGAGCACTCTCTGGTGGCCCTCTGGATGAGGCTGGAGGAGTTGCTAATGATGCGGGCCGACGACGAGGAGCCAGCTCCTCCTGCTCCTCCTCCTCCTCCTCCCGAGGGATTGGAATTCGATCCCGAACCGGGACGCACTTGACGCACTCGTCGCACACTGCTGCTTGAGGATTTTTGGTGGTGATTCGAGTGGTGATTCGTGTGGTGCGAGTGGTTCGAGTGGCGATGGTGGTGACGACGATGCCGGCGGTGCGAGCAATGCAATTCCCATTCCAGCGGCGACAAGCGGTTCAGTGAGAGCAAATTGCAGTAATTAGTAGTGGTGCAGTGGTTTGTGGTGTTGGTGGTGGAGTCGGTGGTGGTGGTGGTGGTGGTGTTGGCATGAACATGAGATCCGGATCCGGACAAATCCGGAGCGGAGCCAGCCCCCGAAAGGCGGCGCCACCGGGGATAAAAGCGATTGGATGCACTGCATTGGATGGTTGGCGGAAGCGGGATGCGGATGCGGATTTCAGATGGCAGATATCAGTTATCAGATTTCAGTTATCAGATTTCAGTTATCAAATTTCAGATTTCAGGTAACGAAATGCGGAAAGCGAGAAGCGGGCGGTAAGAGCGAGAAATAGCCAATTGTATATAAGTGAATTTTGATATATATATTTACAAAACCAAGTAAGTATGTTCCCAATGATCCCAGTGATCTAACCACGATTGTACCTGAGTGACCTGGAGAACTTCACCAGTTCGGCGGTGAGGGCCTCGCGGTCGAACGGCTGCTGCTGCTGCTGGATGTGCGGATGTGCATGCGGATGCGGATGCGTGGCCGAAATGAGGGCGCTCTGCGGCTGCTGGTGGGGATCCCCCGGCGAGGAGCGGAACACCCCGAAGTGCTGATCCCAACGACTTGACTGGTACTGGGCACCTGAAGGTCAGAAAGATTTAGTTAATCCTACACTCCCAAAAAAAAGTGACATAGTACAAATAACTATCTGGATATTGAATCTTTGGGTTTTTATTTTACGTTTAAATGAACTATAAAATCAACTTATTGACTTCAAGTTTCATTCAGAAAGCTTAAAAATGTTTTTAATATTTTATTTTATGTGAAAAATATCAGATTTAGAATGGGTCCCATTTTTTTAATGGAATATGAGTTTACCATGGCTTAAATTTTAAATATATTCCGTAAACATATATTTTAATAAACTACTTACTACGTTCTTTTAAGAGTCTACTTGTGTTTCATATTAAATTATGGCCCAATCTACTTCATAAAAACAAAATAAATATTCATTTAAGCTAATATATGTCAAGAATAATTATATACATTTAAAAGCAAATTTTTAAGTTTGTTGGCATTAAGTTTCTTTAATTCTTAGGGTGATTTAAGGTGCCAATAGAAATAGTTTTAAACAATTAAGGACCATTTACATTGAGTTTCTTTAATTTGTGGGGTGTTTCGGAGCTGAATCCAACGAAGATCATGAGAATACTCTATGTTTGATTGAATTTAAATCTCCTGATTTTATTTTTGAAACTCCAATATCTTAATATAAAAACTTCAACTCGAAATCCCCCTTTTCAGTATCCCCGTAAATGCTCACCCATCCCGCGTCGCTGTGAAGCGGAGCTGCCTTGGTTGCTCCTCGAGGGATTCTTGGTGCTGCCGCCTCCGCCGGCCCTCAATCGGGCTGGAACGACCTTGGCGGCGGAGTCGCGCGCCTCGAAGGTCATCACGCAGGAGGCCACCACGATGAAGCCGCCGAAGCCCATGACAATGGGGCCCACGTACGCGAAGTTGTTCAGGTGGAAGCCCTTTAGGTCGTTCTTCACCCGAACGGTGACATTGCCTCGCAACTCCGATCCCATCGACAGGTGATCCGCATAGTAGCCCAGGGTGGCCATGCCCGCGCCCAGGAGCATCAGCGTGAGTCCCAGGATCAGGGCTCGGCAGGCGTGCCACAGGCACTTCGAGGACATCTTGCCCCGCACCACCTGCACGTTCCACGTGGCCCCCGATGCGGGATGTGCCCGCCGCAGGTTGCCCAGCGAGTGCTTCCGCTTGGTGGTGCCTCCGCCACCGGAGCGACGGGATGGCATCGCGATGACTCCTCCTCAATTCCTTTGGCCCAAAACGGTGGTCATCAGTTTTGGCTCTGGAAAGCAGATATTATATGGTTTATTGGAGTTTTATACAATGTATAACATGTAGATATTATTAAAAACTTTACTTCTTAAAGTAATGAAGTTGAACACTTTTAATATATACAATTGAAATCCAAATAATATAAATAACTTACACTTGACTTTGAATTAACATATGAATAATTAAGTATTTTAATTAATAAAGCCATCGCAATATATTTGTTAATTCATCGTCACTTGAACATAACATACAAAAAATACATTTTCAAATATAAAAATGCTTTAAGCGGAATATTAAAACAAAAAAAAATTAAAAATTACTTTATAGTTGATTATACTTATAAGAGCTACGCCTTAAAATAAGATAAAATAAATGTAAGATTTATTTGTGTCAAATTTTTGTTTACGAAGAAGTGAAAATAAATCCTTTATTACGTTTTATATTGGCAATTATTTATTTTTTTGTAAGATCAACATCAGATAACTTTGCATGAATTCTTTAAGTGAACTTAGCATAAAACTAACTTTTAAAGTAAATGTTATCCTGGTCTTGTTTTAAATTTACATTCTGAAAAAAATTATTATAATAGACATGAAGCAATGGAGAAGTGGGCATTTTAGCCAAGCCAAACCGCTTCGACACTAACACCTCCCCACCTGTTGTCCGAGGAAGGTCACCATGTGCGGTGCTCACGGCTGTTTGCAAAACAGTAGGTGGACTCCAGAGCACCTGCTCTGCCAGAGGAGGAGGGGCAGAAGCTGAGAGGAGGACGTGGACGTGGACCCGCCGGTGCAGCCTGCGAATGCCGAACAATTAAAATCCAAGGCACAATGCCAACGACTACGAGAATAGCTGAAGCGGCTGACAACCGCGTGACGGGGCTCAAAGAATGGCCAGAAGAATGGCCGACACTCCTTCAAGGACCCAGAGTCGGCCAAAGCCGCAATTAAAGCCAAACAAAACGCACGAAAGTCTGATAACAAGGCCCGTCATTTGCCTTCAACCCCCGTTTTTTCGCCGAGTGTGGCACTTGACACGCTTGCCTCGAGAATCTGCTGCTGCTTAAATTTAGACAACCATTGCATTCTTCAACTAACGTTTGAGTTGATTGCAGGTCACACACTGGATTTTTCAACAATATCAGGGAAAAATAACTTCAATATTAATCTCTTGCAATTAAAAATCAAATTTATAATTTTTTGATTTTCTAAAACTTAGTTTGGTATTTGAAAAACTCAGAGAGCCTAATGAAATAGTTTCCATTCATAGTTTTATAACTTTCCATAGCAAAAATAAAAGAAAAAATGTTTTTTCCATAATATTTTCATGAACTTGGGAACAATTTTAAATAATAAACACAAAATACAATATCAAATACATACATTTACATTTACAGTATATATTTATATATTTTTAGCTAGATTCTATTATTCATATTCCAAATCTGTTTAACATCCTTAAATAGTTAAATATTTTAACTGAATTGATTTCATGTTTTTAATTTTTTTTATTAAAACAAATTAGAAGTCGATAAAAAAGGATAACTCAAAACAATAAATGGCAGTGAATAGTAACATTACCAATTTTCTAATTAAGAAAATAACCTTAACCATTGTGCTGCCTTATGGTTTATACTTAAGCTAAAATCATCATAATGACAAAGGCATGGAAATGTAAACTTTAAAGGATTTTAAACTTGAACTAAAACCACACTCTACGCCCCAGATTTCAAGGATAAAAATTCTTTGGAAAATTAAGCATGCATGCAAACCAAATGCCACATTTTTGCATTCATGCATTTTTTATTTTTCAAGTATTTCAAGCATTTGTGTGGTTTTATTTCTGCTTTTGTGCCTTAGTTATTCATCGGTTAAAATATTTAATGTTGATTTACAACTGCTAGACTATGAAATACACGCATTTTAATTATTGTGTATTTAATAAAAGTTTTAACTTAGTTTTAAGTTCTTTTGTTACTGTTTTTTAAAAATCCCATCCTAGTTTTCATACGTTTATTTAAACACTTCTAGAATTCTTTGACTAGATGAACTTTATTTACCGAAATGGCAAATTGATGCATAAGTTATATCAAAGTACCTATCAGGTTACAATAAGCCAAGTACGCGAGTATTAGTCTTTAAATTAAGCTCAAATTATTCTTGAAATCAGGGGAATTTCAAGGGAAAACGCTCCTGGACTTTGTTTGCCCAGGAAGTCTAGGATGGCATTTGATGACTTACTTGGTGGCTCGTTTCTTGGAATTCCTTGGCTGCTCCCGTCGAAGTCAATGTTTCTGTTGCTGTTGGTTGTTGCTTTTGCTTTAATGCTGCTGCTGGGAGAGCCTTTTGTGTGACCTAAAAGCAGATTTGCCTTCGCTCCGTCTGTATCTGTATGTATACTGGCGTGTGCATATATTTTCGCGACTTGGAGTGTAGGACAGCCAACAAAATGTCATCGCTGGCTCTTGAACTGTGTGGCCAGCATTCTGGCTTAAAGCTGCCTCACCAGTCAATGGACTCCGGGGTGATAGCTAATCGAGAATGTGATTAATTTTCACAGGTTTTCACCTGTTCCCGCAGGCAGTTGATTATTCACTCGATTTTGCCAGCTGTGCGAGACGTCTGCACACGAGCAGCTTCCACGCGCGTCTGATAAGACGAGGTCCATTTGAAATGTCTAAAAAAAAAAATAAAACCAGAGCCATAACACAGGCCAATCATCCCTCATGTTATCCACCAAGTCACTGTTGAAGATTGGTCGAAATGTACAGTGGTAATTCTCGCGAGCGAACCCTGTTTTACCCCTATATTATTAGCTGAAAAGGGAAAAAATAAGGCAGGTTCTACTGTGACCCACATAACTAGCGCCCTCTGTTGTACTTCTTCAATCATATCTGTTATATTTTTATGGTAGTGCTATAATTTGTATTCATAACTATTTTATGGAATGTTCCTATACTCAAACTGCTTAAACTGCTTAAGTGGTAGACCAGAAAATCATATACAAAATATCTTCTATACTTTTTTAACCCCGTCTGTTATACATTTCTTATAAAATGTGTTAATATTTATAAACATTTTATGGAATGTTCTTGTACTCAAACTGCTTTAATTTTCAGCATTGGTAAGCCGGAAAATGAAGACTAAATATAATTTTGAAAATAAAATTTATATTTAATATGTTTATATACCGGAAATTCTTATAAAGTAATCAAACTGCTTAAGTACCTGAATAAAACCGAAAAAAGAAAACTAAATTGGTAATTTGTATTCTGATAACAAAATCAAACAGGGCAGCTAAATTTTTATTTTAAACTGCTTGAACTTACTGTATCGGTAAACCGGAAAAAGAACATTAAATATATTCTTGAGAATTATTATATTTCTACTGCCAATGAATTGGATATTTCTAGTGACTTTTTGCTTTATTTCAAACTTGATTGAGTTGCTTTATGATTTAAATGCCAATATTTTGTTTTGTGACCGCCTAAAACTGCTTTTTCCGAACCCAATTCACCACCCAGAACTCCCCTACCAAACTCCGAAAGGTGAACCCACCAAAAAGCAGAAGAACACCACGTTTAGGGGTAAAAACTTAACGAAAGAAGGACTTGCGCAGTTTGAGCGAAAGAGAGCGTCCTGTGGGGAAGCCGAGCGGCCAGGACGAAAGGCTGTCGAGCTGCGAACAGGACATCAACAACAACTGGGTTCCTGCCGCGATTTGGATGGCCAGTCATTGGCGAAGTCTTCAATCGCGTTGACGTTCTTCGCAAGGAGCCGGATGCCGAAATCCGATATTCCGATTTCGACCAAATCGGTGTCGTCTGTTGTACGTGATGCAGTTGTCCCAGCGACTCGCAATTGCCTTCGTTTCGGTCCAACTGAAGAATGCATGAGGATTGAAGCTCCTCGCTGCCAAATGCATTCCCCAACTTCCGTTTCCTCGATCCAATCTCAATCTGTGTGTCCTCGCCTCCATGTGCATATTTTAATCGGGTGTGTATAAGTCGGTGTGTGTGGGTCCTCAAAACTATGTGAATCCCGAATATATATTCATTTAAGGATTAAAAAAGTGAAGTTTTCTTAACGATCGTTCCTAGAGCACACATATTAAGTTAATCAATAAGGATATATCCTTATCCTGTCCCTGCTTTATGTGAATTAATCAAGTTGATATTTACGTGACTGCGAAAAGGGAAAAACGAAAAAACAAATGGCCAAAGTGCGTGCGATGCCATAGGTGACCCCAAAAAAAGGGAATATATAATAAAATAAAATAAAAGAAAAAAAATAAAAAGAAAAAAAAAAAATCGAGTCCAATGCAGTTAGTTAGAGCCGACTACGCCAGATTGCAAAATGCGTTTGAATGAACCAGCTGAAAAAACGCGACCCAGAACTAAATCAACGATAGAAGGCAATAAGTTCTTGTCATCGGGTGACCTTCACCTCGAATGTCCCACATCCACATCCACATCCACAAACAACCTGAACCTGATCAGGCTGCTCCTCCTCATCACAACGATCATGGGCTGGGGATTCGTTTGCCAGGCCAAGACCATCCACGACACAGATACAGTTAACAGGATTCCGCAGGACCCGGAGCCATCCAACCTCGACTTGGACACCTCGAAGGTTGCCCTGCAAGCGACTGCTGCCACGCCCACTGCCGCCACCGCCACCCTCCGGGTGTCCACGTTACGGAGTACGTACGGTAGGTGCCCCATCTGCACAAATAATTGCAAAATTGCTAGTTGCAAGCCTCAAATGCGGTTAATGCATAATTATATAATTGGTTTTCAATTATCCTGCTGACTCAATCGGTTGGCAGTCATTATTGTCTTTGGATACCGGTTTCAAATATACATTGTGCAATTCCACATGTTCTAATTGGGATAAATTTCTTAAACACTGATGTAGCTGTGATTGCAGAAAGGAGGTCAACATTACTAGGGTTATTTAAATCTTAATACAAATTTGTGTCTCCAGTTGAGACAGTGTTTAGGGGTCTTAAAAGAATATGTGTAGACTATTAAAGGTGTTTGTATTTAAATATATGTATCTCAATTCAGGAATTTAATCGGTGTTATTTTTTATTATATTTAGGTTTATGGGTCTTAAAAAAACACATGTGAAGGTATTAGTATCTAAAAATATGTATGCATTTAATTGGTTTTATTTTAGTGAAATTTTACATAAGTTTAGGGAAAGTTTAGAGGTCTAAAAAAAGATTGAAGCTGTTAGTACTTAGAAATAGGTAGCTCAATTCAATTATATGTATATTTCATACAATTAAGAAATGTTTAGGTGTCTTAAAAAACATGTACAAGTATAACTACTGTAGATGTTAGTACCTAGAAATATGTACCCCAATTCAGACACTTAATTGGCGATATTTTATTTATTTTAAATCAGCTTAAAGAATATTTAGTGGTCTTAAAACAACATGGTGTAGAACAAAACAAGTTCCAAAAACGTAAGCTTGTGCAAGTCAAAGATTTTTAAATGGGTCAATGTCAACATTATTAGCTCATCAAGCGAAACCTGTTGTTTATTAATGTTCAATATTCGTGCTAAATTAAACGCATTTTATGCAAACATTGAAAGTGGTGTTGTTGAAGCGATAATTAATATACTTTAATCAATTTTAAGCACTCTGTGAGAATATTTTTAATAAGATAAATGTATGAATACATGGTTAAAAATTTAATTGTATTAAATTGTTAATTCTGCAATAATGTTCACTAGAATGTTATAAAGCTTAAACTTTGCATAATTTAAGGGAGTATTAATATAACATGATATAAAAAACAATAAAATTAGAATAATAAACGAAATTATAAGCCTTATAAAATTAAATTTTTTATGTATTATGGTTGTATAAAAACAAAGTAGACAACCTTTTGATCAATTGTTTTGTTTACTTTTAAAATGATAAATGTCAAATACGATACACGATACTATTTTGTCTTAAATTGCCTTTAGACTTTCATTTAGCCACTACATTATATTATTTTTCAGAGTTATGTTAAAAATTCGTATATAAACGGAAATAAAATAATAATAATTAATCAGGATACACTCAAGCTACATAAGTTCAGACCAAGGGCCAAGCAGTTACTTAAAATCAAACAGCTTATATGGTAAATAAAAAAACAATATGTTGCTTGACATAATTAAGGTTTGTTCATAATAGCCAGAAAACAAATTAAAATCTCAAATAATTTTAAATTCAGTCGAACTTCCAAAACTGGAAATATTATCTGACCACAAGTTATAGAGTTGATTTTATCAGTATTTATTCTTTTATGGCCAATTAAACTAGTTTGACTCATAAAGATTCCAAGCTAGAGAAGTTTGACTGTCAAACTTTTCAGCCACGTTGAAAAATTTAAACTTTAAGCCATAATTTAGATATGCCAGAAAAGACATTTGACTTTGACAAACACCAATGCAACCGATGACCGAGAAAATAATTCCTTGTTTACTTTTGGTTGAAGCAATCCAAAACATTTGTCTAGTCCCGGTGGGTTTCAGTGTACCCGCAACGAACAAACAAACTTCCCCGCACACATGAGCATATATACATATGGACATGCAGATACAGTTACACACATGAATGGTTGAGCCAAGTCATCAATTCTCAACTTTCGCCGTATCTCCTTTCTACTTTCTCTTCTTCCCCCCCGGCAACCACAAAACCCAGATTCGAAGGAAATCGATAACTCCTTTCCAGCTGATGGGAGCAGTCAGGCTGCGGATGATTCGGATTATGTAATCCCCCAGGGCCAGACATCCTCGGTGCCGATCCTCGATCCTCAGGACAGCCCATCCAAGGCCCACGATCTGGAATCGTTATCCTTGCAGTCGGGATCGGGCACAGTTGCGCCCGATTCTTCGGGGCGGAAGAACTCCTTCCAGCAGATCGGCAGCCAGAATGTAAACGCCTTAGTGCCGGCCACAGTGGCCACCGTCACTTCGTCCTCCGCCCTGGCCACGCCCACGGAGGCGGCGAGAAACCGCAGTACTGGTCATGTCCGCAACTCCGCCGTTAAGGTGGACAGCAAGCATCCGCTGTTCAAGGGCCAGAAAACGGATGCCCCCATGTTGAACTACATCTTCGACACGTTCTCCTCGGCCAACAAGCATCACCATCATGATCAGAGGTGAGTTTTGGGATGGGTAATCTTGATCCTTCAGAGAGCAGGGTGTATATATCTCCATGATGACCACCTTTAGGTATGGACCCCACTTCGAGGATGTGCAGCGACTGGGCCAGGCCACCAATCTCACCGTGCAGGCGGGCTCCAGCATCCACCTAAACTGCAGGATCTCCCTGCTGCAGGATAAGACTGTAAGTTTGACTTCTCGCTTAAAAGCAACTTAATTTATTATATTTCCTTAAAATACATTTTTTCTAAGTTTTTTGTGTTTAAGTTGTGTAACTTTTTCTTTAAAAGATACAAAGAAATAAAAACCCAATGTCATTTGCTAACAAACATGTATCATTTTCTAACTAAACCATTAAATAATGTAAAATTAATATAACAAATTATCGGATTCTATCTCTGTTTGAAAATATTATAGGGAAACGCCAAGTACCAAGATTATAATAATACGGAATTTTATCAATTTATTTATTTTTTTGTTATACAATATATAAAAGTTGTTTGGCACTTGGATTAAGTAATTTAAGGAATAATAAGATATAAGGCACTTCGCGTTTCAAGCGAAAAGGGGGAAAATAAAAACGATTTTTTATTTTCAATAGACAAAACTTTTTACCCTTCCCTATGTCTATAATGTTGGATAAAGTTGGTTTGGTGAAATTTTTAGTTTTCAAGAGAGCTGCAAAAAACTGACGCTGTCGCTGGACACAAAAGACGGAAGTGGTTCTTGCGGTTAGCCCGCAAAACTTGGTGCAACTTTTCAATGCAACTAATTTAGGAATTTTGTCAGCCATGCCGTTGAAAAATTGTTTAGATTTTACAGAAAATTTTATTATAAATTTGTTAATGTCGTCTTAATATCTGCCCTTTAAGAAATGTCGTTTCTTAGCTTGTTTTCTTTACACCTATTATCAAATTAAAAGTTATTTGATATACAGTCAAATATATACATAGGAAGAAACCAAGTATCTAGTCTAGTAATTTGTACAAATCAAATACTTTTTTCAAAAATATTTTTAAGTCATGTTATAAGGAATCATGTAACCTGCTTTAAAATGTAGCACCCGATTCCTAAATTTGTAACTACTTAGAGATATATCTATTTAAAATCTCCTCCGATATTAGGTCTCTTGGGTGCGCCACAATACGCAGGCTGAGGATAATGCCCTGGACCTGCTGACAGTGGGCATGCACACATATACGGGTGATAATCGCTACAAAATCGAGTTCCAGTACCCCAACAACTGGCGACTGAAGATAACCAACGTGAAGAAGGACGACGAGGCCATATATGAGTGCCAGATCTCGACCCATCCACCCCGCGTCATTCAAATCAACCTGCATGTGAATGGTAAAATCTAAACATTGAAATTAAAAAAGAACAATGGCAAAAGAAGACTTTAATTAGCTCCCAAGGTGATGATAGTGGACGAGGTGGGGGATCCGCTCCAGGAGAAATACTACGAGATCGACTCCACCCTGCAGCTGTCTTGTGTGGTGCGAAATGTGGCCATGACCAGTTCTGTGGTTTTCTGGAAGCACATCGACAACATCCTCAACTATGACGTAACTCGAGGGGGAGTGAGGTGAGTGTGCGATTTGTGAAAAGACAGTAATTCTATAAAGCATATCTAAAATGGAAATTGGACTAAGTTGTATAAATTAAAACTTGGAGGTAAAAACATGAAACTGGAAACTTGAAAAGAGAATATTAAAGATCAAACATTTTAAATCAAAAAATTTTAGAAGTATCAAGATTATTAAAAAATGTTATTAAAAACCTGATTTTAGCGTCAAAACGGAACTGATGGAGGATGGAGCCAACTCGACGCTTTCCATAGCTAAGATCAGTAAAACAGATTCTGGCAACTACACATGCTCCATCAGCGAGTTCCAGAACTTTACCATAGTGGTGCACATTCTTAATGGTGAGTGGGGTATACTTAAATAAACTTATAGATAATCATTTATATCTTTCCAGGCGAAAGCTTTGCCGAATTGCATCATGGTGATGCGAGTGGAATGAGGAAAACGGGGTGGCATCTGGTGGTGCTTGTGGCACTTCTAGTGCTAAGTAATTTAAGGGGGGAGTTTATTAGCTAAGGTTCCCGATTACTTTCGGTAGGTTAAGTGGGAGTAAACAAATTGAGATAACATCGTTTAACCTGTAGCACTTTTTGTTGATTAATTGTAAAGATTCTGAATTGGATAGGGCAGTTATTAGAAATAACTAAAAAAAAAGGCAGCCTAAGTCTAACTGGCTATTATAGATATGTTTCTACGTCTATCAACAATTTGTACATGAGCAGGCACGCCTAGGATTAAGTGTACTATTAAGGTGGAGTATATGGAATGAAACTCTGAAAATCGGAAAATCGGAAAAACGGAAAAGAGAGATAAAGGCCAACGAATTTCCCTAGCAGAATGTCACAATGTCAGAGTTATGATCTGGCCGAGATCTAGTTGATACAGGAATGTAAAGCATAGCGTAATCTAAGTCACTACAAGTTCATTATCACGAAGCTTTTGCAGCAGGTGTTTGAACTCCTGTGGGAACTACTCCAATGTTGAACTATTATAAAGTGCAATACGGTCATATACATATTATATACATACACTCACACACACACGAACGAAATGATATGTTAATAAATGAATACTCGTATGTATGCAATAATAAAGTGAACTATAAATGAGCGACAACTGAATTCAAAATGCGATGTGAGCGGGAAAACTCGATAGGCGCGCCGATAAATCGAGGCTGGAATTTGGCAGGGCTGCCAGATGGTTGACTTTTATTTGAAATTTATGCTTATCTGTCTTATATTATGTTATGCACTATAAAACACGAATTAAATAACAGATATTTTTAAATATACAGCTCAAGTATCGTGGCCTTGAACAAAACCATTTCTTTTATAATCTCTTTGTATAACACAGTTTAAACGAACTGATATAATTTGCAAAGATAATGTTTGTTTGTCCACACTCAGGGGCATTCTTGCATGGGTTTCCAAGTACATATATTTTGGCACATTCAAGAAGATTAAACCATTGCGATAGGTCTAAAAATACAGCATATAATACCTTTAATCTAATCGCAAGAGGTTCATTTGTTTGATCTCTTTTTAAACAAACATACTGAGCTATATTTACACAAGCATAATATAACTAAACAACTAATCACAACTTGGATTTGGTTTTCCGGCTGGCGAAATCAATGATGGCCTGGGCGAATTCGGAATGTTGAAACTGCAGTAGCAGTTGCTTGCACTCGGCTTCGTTGGCCTTAAGGAGATTCTCCAGGAATCCCTCCTTGACGAGGCGTTTTCCTTGTAGCAGAGAGTTTTGGGGTAACTCGGAATATTGACGCAGCTTGGGCCACACTACAGAATCCAGTTGGCTGGCCTTGAAAATACGCGAAACAAAGTTGAACTGATAGGCCTCTTGGGCGGAAAGGGGTTCGCTTAGCAGCAGCGTTTCCGAGGCCTTGGATCGGCCCAAGATCAAGGGCAGCATATAGGAGGAACCACCTTCGGGCACAAGGCCCAACTTGGTGAAAGGGGTGTGAAAGTAGGCCTGAAATAATAATTACTGAATAAGTATATTAAAATACCAGGAAACCCAATAAAAACTCACCGTTTCTGAGCACCAGGCCACATCGCTCAATCCCACAATGGTGGCTCCAATTCCAATTGCCGGTCCGTTGACCAAAGCAAACACTATCTTCTTACAGTTCACAAAACTCAAGACCATGGCCTTAAATGTCGCATTCGACTGTTTGAAGAAGGCATCGAGATCATCGCTGTTTGCAGATTGTGTCAAGTCATTTCCCGCCGTAAAGATATCGCCAACTCCGGTGAAGACCACCAGGCTAACGCTTTCATCATCGTTGACCTCGGTCAGAACCCGGGTCATTTCCTGGTAGGTGAACCTGTTGATGGCGTTCTTCTTTTTTGGATTGTTGAACTTCACTACGAGCAGCTTGCCTTGCTGCTCCACAAGTAGCTGCTGGTATCCTTGGTACGACATCGCGATCACAGAGCTCCGAAAAGAATGAAATGCAAAGTCCAATCAGACTTTCATTTAACTAACTCTTGATTGTCGGTGTTTATTGTTGCTTAATCCAATCGATTAGGGGTACTCCTACGCAGCATAATAGATAAGCCTAAAGATGTGCGATGATTGGTGATCAAGTCACGGTTTAAAAAGTAAGTTGGGTTTTACTGTCTCATTTTCAATATTTTTGTCTACATCTATTTAAGTCATATTCAATTTTAATCATTTCATAGTTATTCTTTAGTTCTCAATAGTATAAATTTTATCTAAACTTTTTTGCCATAATGAAGTGAAATAAACAAATGCTTTTAAAATGATAATTTTGTTAGCTAAACGATGTTTAACCAGTTTTTTTAGTTTATTAAAATTAAATACAAAATTATTTAAGTTCTTTTGAACTCATAATTACCAGTGATTTTAAAAATAAAGAAATTCAAAAAGACGTTAGTTGCCACCTCTGACAAACGATAGTTCGATCTGGCAACTCTGTAAAGAGGCGCCAAGTTTAAAACACCACCAGAAGTGAAAAAAACATTAGTTTTATTTTTCTTTTCGCTGTACAACATTCATCTTATGATACAAAAGTGGTTATTCGCTTATTTCATCGATCACGGGCACATTTTGCAGCTCGGAGCACTTTCGTTTCCACAAGGCCAGCTGTTCCCTCAAAACTTTTTCCTTGGCGGCAGCACGCGTCAACAGGACTTTCGCCTTTTGCAGGAGTTGCGTTTTCTTTAGCAGCTGCTCCTTTATGAACTTAAGTTCCTCATTGGCGGCGTCCTTGTTTTAGATTATAGCCATTTAAATTTATAAATAATATTAGCTATATTATTTAGCACTTACCTTACTGCGACCACCGCATTGACTGCACTTGGTTCGCTTTTGTAACTCCTGCTGCAGTGCGGTTATCTTCTCCAGCGCCTCTGCATTTTGCTGCTGCAATCGCGTCGCCTCTGCCGGTGTCGAATCCGTGGAGCTCCTGGACTCCGTGGATCGTCGGCCATCCTTCAAGAACTTGTTCTCCGAACGCAGTTTCTCAACCAGGTTGCGAAGCGACAGGATCGTCTGTTCCGCCGACTGGCCCTGATTGGTACTCACTTTTAGGCCACTGCATTTGCACAACTCTCGCCGGGATTCGTTGCGAGCCATCTCCTCTTTCAGGGCAAGGATATAGCTAGGAAAATGGGTATAAAAGTTTGAATAAGCAACTGCAAGTCAAATCACAATGCAGGAAAAGTTTATAGGTTTTCTTTTACAAATAAATATTTTTATAATAATATTATAAGTATAATAAAAACAATGTTCTTTGTTGAGCAAACGAAATACAGAAACTATTTTCGAGTAAAAAAAACTGAACTCAAATAAAGAGTACAATAAAAATGACAAATTTTTAAATCTTAAAGAATATGGATAGATCATCCAAAGAGACTCAATTTTCTTATTTTAAGTGATATATTTTATGAGTCCCTTAAAAAATGGATTTTTAAAAAAACTCCAATCATAAAATCCCGTTTAATAATCACTCCTCCAAGTGCTTGTCAATCTTTTAAGGAACTACGCTCAAAAAACCCCGATTACTACTCACTCCTGCAAGTGCATTATATGTGATATATTTAAAGAACTCCAATCATAAAACCCAACTTAATACTCACTCCTCCAGGTGCTTGATCCTCTTCTGCAAGCGATCGCTGCTGTCTCCCTGCCGCAGAAGATCGGAGTCCAATTGCAACTGGAGATTCCGGGCCTCCAGTCGGATGTTCTGCGCCTCGATGGCCTGGCATCGTTCCTGCATCTTCTCCAACTCGGTGGTGAGGGCATTGCTGCCCCTGCCCTCCAGTTCCATGGCGATGATCTTGCGCTGCTGCAACTCAATGCGGGATTTGAGGGCCCCAATGAGATCCGCCTGGCTCTGGTCGAAGAAGTGGTCATGGGCACTCTCATGGGCCTGGGGATGATGAGCCGGAGAGCTGCACTCGCTACTGGGACCCGTATAGGTTTCCGGACTTTCCGAAGGCGACGGTGTGAACTTATTGACACCCACATGCTGGAGATTCGGGCAGGATGGAGTGCGGCAGCATTTGAGGTTATTGGTGGAGCCATTGCTCGCCGGTCCACTCCTGCCCAGCTTGGATTCGAGTATCTGCTTGTCCTTCTCCAAACGGGCAATGGTGGTCCGAGCAGCTTGAAGGAGTGCCCTCGTCTTGTCCAGGGCCAACTCCGTCTCCTCCAGCCTGGCCTTGGTCTTCTCCGCCTGTTGCTGATACCTCTTCTGCTTTTCCCACAGCTGGACCTCGTTGGCACTCCTCGTCCGCTTGGCCTCCAGTAGGGTTTGCTGTCGCTGCAGCTGACCACGTGCCTCGTCCAGATCGGATTCCAGCTGCTGGATGCGCTTCTGCTGATTCTCGTTCTTCACCCGGGCATTCAACTCCGTTTTAATGGACACCACTGGTCGCTTGAGTAACTGCTGCCGCAGGGATTGACTCAGATCCCGGGCCTGCTTCTCCCTTTGGGTCACATTGGCCAGCTGGCGACGCAGTGCCTCCATCTGGGTGTGGTAGATCTTGTTGGTGGCCTCCGTGCGATTGAGATCGGCTGCCAGCTTGGCTATCTGATCCTCCGAGAAGTTGGAAGTGTCTCTGATATAGCGCTGCTGGTCGTCCTGGAGGATCATTTTCAAAGTAAAAAAAAGTTATAATATTACAACCAAAGAATATAAATAAAACCAATATTTTACTGCTTGAAACTACCTCAAACAAATTTAATTGGTTAGTATGAACGTATTCGATTGTAACATATTTTTTTTAACATAAACCTGATTATAAACATATTAAATTGGTTGACTAAAACGTTAATTGTAGGTTTCATTATTTTTATTTAACAACTTTTTTTGAAACATTTTTTCCACGTAACAAATATTTAAAACTTGCTGTTTATGTTTTTCATATTCAGTGTTTTAAATATTTTGACACTTTGTTTTATATATGAACTTATATATATTTAATTTATATATGAAAGTACGAAAATAAAATTTGTAAATTAGCTTCTTATAAAGCTCTTAATATGTTTCGAAAATACTTAATGTTTTATCTCTAGATGAACTCATACTTACATGGAAGTTCTTAAGAGTATCCATTAAATCCTTGATATGCCTATCTTTTTCATCCAAAAAGTTGCGTAGCTGATCCAATTCGGGACTCACATTGCTCTCCACGGATTTTTCACGCTCCTGGCAGAGTTTTAGCCTATTTCCAAAATTAAGGATTATTATTTCATATTATGATCTACTTGAAAACTCACTTGTCCTTTAGTATTTCCACTTCTTCCTCTCTAGTTTTCAGGCTCTTTTCATTGTACTCCAGTTTGTCCCTCAGATCCTTGATTTGCTTATGAAGTGTGGGCAGTTCCTTGAGCTCCTCAGTGTCTTGTTTTTCCTCCTCGCCTTCGGGCTCTTCAGTAACTGGAATTTCCACAGGCACTTCAACCTCTTCTGGAGGCCTCTCCACCGAGCTGCTCTCGAATAATTCCTCAATTTTCTCATCCGTGAGTTCATTAACTGAGTTTTCGGAACTCGAACTCGAGTCTGTGGTTGGAGTACGCTCCAAAACTGGCTTGGTCTTCAGTTCCAACTTCCCTTTGAG